AAGAAGCTACAATGTTGCGCTATTTACAGTTCTGAAGGCCCCGGTGCTATGACAACAGCCGTTAAAACAGCGAACGGCTAACATAGCAACTATAAGTGCGAGGAGACAACACAGTAATGCTAAGGAAGGTTTAGCCACTTTTTAACCCACCCTCTCCCCTCCTGAGCCTCCTTTAATCGGACTCCGGTATTAAGACTTACAGACAACACGGTCCAACGTCTTCCTTCGTCAAATCCTCCTTCGTTTTTCCCTCCGGAGACAAAACTAGATTGACTTTGGACTAATTTCCATAACAGGCAGCCGAGCCGAGGTGAGCAGGCGGAGGGACGGGCACTCTGCGGCGGCCAGATGTTTCCGAGCTGTTGCTGCTGCTCAACTCGGGGCTGGGAGAAAGGAGGCGAGTTGACTGGCACGGCACGGAAGCCAATGGAGCCGGTGAGGAGGAAAGTGAAGGCAAATTGGAAACAGAGGAGAGGGAGGGATATGCCTTCTTCTTCTTCTCTCTTCGGCGGAGGTTGACACCACCAGGCAGCAACAGCAGCACACACAGCAGTGAGAAGGCAGTAGAAGAAGAAGAAGAAGCTGGGCCAAACCAACTGGTTCTGCGAGTCAGTGAGGCGGACTGTGCGCAGAGAGAGAGTGGAGGGCGGCGCGGTGCGACCTGGGTACTGTAGTCATCAGGGAGGGGGGGGGGGTCTGGTGGCGGGGGGTCTGGTGGCGGCGGAGGCGGAGCTGATGTGAGCAGGTGCACCACCTTGACAGGAGAAATAAAGCCCTGAGAGTTAGCACTTAACCTTGCGTTGTTGCTATATCAATACAAACTAAAACAACTTTTAATATATGCTAGGTGTCAACAAAAGACACAAAACAGGTGCTTCACTTCCAGATACTGGTATATATTTACTCAAGTAGCCTACTTTAGAATAATTTCGAGGTACTTTTACTTTCATTCAACTGTATGTTACTTCATACTTTACTTCTACTTTTACTCCACTGTATTACATAACTTTAGTTACTGTGCAGATTCAGATTCTAAGCAATATAATCAACAAATACAATTTGGTATAATAAATATTACGCACAACTATATATTCATTGATTAAAAAGTTTCACCTTTACAAGTTAAAATGATAAAGTGACAGCCTTTTGTAAATTACTCAATGATATTTGCAGAACTCTAGCTTAGACACAATTAAAATCTGTTTATATTTTATTGACTAAACAAGTAATTATTCAAATAAAAAATAGATGACTTTCTGATACATTTTTTTAGATGAAGCGCTTCTGTATGCAATTAGTTTGTCTATTACAGTCAACAATTATAACCACCAAAAAAGTGTTGGATTGTGGCACACAGAAAACATTACGAGACACACTGAGGATAATCTCCTGCTTGTCTCACTATATGTCATGATGTCCAACACCTTCTGCATTGAGTCCAAATGCGTGTCGGCTGTCACTATGTGATGTGCTGTCACATTATCAGTCTAATCTTTACAAGTGAAGGGGACAAAGAGATCTCAGTGATAAAGACTGAATTTATTGCTGCAAAAACTGTGAACAGTGAAGGGACATTAGATGATTGTAACAGGTTATAGGTCCCAGCATTTCCCCGAACATGACAGAGGCTTTTATGGCAAACCAACAGCTTCCTGTGCTTTTATGAAGAAATAGCTACATGTGGCAAGGCGTGTTTAACCTGTACGTTTCAGTTTACAATAAACAAGTTCATACTGGACTGGTCTGTTTCTTCCACTGAAAGCAAAGTAAGCAAAATCACCCCATGGTTTATCCACATCCTGTGTGATTATATTTGTTCTCATATATCTGCCTGATGTTATGGTTTTTTAATGAAGAATGTATTTTGCAGTGTAAAGAGCCAAAGACATTTTGGTTTTAATTTTCCTGCAAGATGTCCAAAAATAACGGCAAATCTAAAAGAAAGTTCTGAAGAAAAGTAAGTGCTCAACACATTAAGATAAATTACATGAAAAACCATGAACAATAAATGTATTTTGTTATCATAGACTGTAGGTTATAACAAGCTCTGATTGGAAATAAAGGTGCGGTAGTCCTAGATAGACCAAATAAATGTTTATTTCACTTAAAAATAACCGCTAATCACAGGTTTTAATCTGCTGGTTTAACTTTTTTTTTTTAAAAACCTTTTAAAATGTGGGTCACTGATACAAAATCTTAATGAAACGTCTGTCATGGGAGCCTTTACATGAAGAAGTTTGGGCAGCTTTGGTTGCCTGAGTGAGTCTGAATCCCCTAAACCTGTCCCAGTAAACTAATTGGCGTTACTAATAGATGGCTGGATGAAGTGCAGTCCTGTGTGGTAATGAATTCACACGATCCGGTGTCATAGCTGAAGGACTTGTTAAAATGCAAATGAATGATGACCCTGTTATGTGT